AGTTGTTGATTTCAACATTGGCTGAACATTGTCGATTTCAGTGACGCAAATTTTCTTTTCAAAGAAAAAACACAGACATTACATCGGAATCACAGACATCACATCGGCGACCATCTGGCTACGCTGTGTAACAACACAACACACAAAAAAAAGAAACGCTCCTGTTTCCCCGACTGTTGTCGATTTCAGTGACGCAAGTTTTCAAAGAAAAAGCTCTGCTATGTAAAAACACTAAAACTAATGTTTCAATTTGTAGCAGTTTTGTATGGCACAACATTTTATAGTGTGATCCTTAATGCATTTTATTTTTCAGATCCATTACAAAATATTGTGAAGATTTACGAGTTGCATTTAATAAATCACTTCTGTTATAGATAAACTCTATGTTACGGTAAAATAAACTACTAATCATGGAGCTAAAAAAGAAAAAAAAAAGCTCCATGTACTAATATATATATAATAATGGACTAAGCTTGAGTACGATTCACATGCGTCTTGACTCATGTCACCGTGATAATAAACCATTTGACAAGGCTACAAGTGTGATTCACAATCGGCCCTAACCCATGGTGTGTTTAAATGAACTAATGCAGTAGTGTTTTAGATCGATTCACCACGGTTACTAGAAGTAACCGTGGATTCACGGATGGCTTTGTAGTGGGTATTTGTTTATTAAACAAGATTTAATCAAGATTTACTCACCAAAAGTTCTTTATTTTTAACTTGTCACTGTGCTTGGCAAACAGGAAAAGGCTACAATGCTTCATGCGCGGAACCAAGCTATGTATACAATGCATATATATTTAAAAACACAACGCGGTTATTACCAGATTGTTACATCATCTATACCATTTTTCTCACCCAATGTGAATACACTCACACATATATATTGTCTGTAGCTGGGGGAGCAGTATATATGAATGAAAATAAAAATAATAAGAACATTATAACGGTTAATCGCTGGAAAAAAAAACCATGGATTTAATAAGATACCTCCAAGGAATAACAAAAACATTTTGGCAAAGCGTCCCGGTTTTATTGGAACGTTCACAGCCATGGCTGCACCCTCTAGCGGCTGATAGCCATAAGCCTAATTCTTTGCCAAATTCTGCTAGGAATGAAAACACCTTTACACGACTTGTTACTTTCAAAAAATAGTTTTATTTAGGAAAAGTACAGACCAATTTGAACACTGCAATTGGTAAATAAATGCAAATACACTGTTCTTGTAAGATACGAGTTATTGGTAAATAAATGCAAATACATCGTTCTTGTAAGATACGAGTTATTGGTAAATAAATGCAAATACATCGTTCTTGTAAGATACGAGTTATTGGTAAATAAATGCAAATACATCGTTCTTGTAAGATACGAGTTATTGGTGAATAAATGCAAATACATCGTTCTTGTAAGATACGAGTTATTGGTAAATAAATGCAATTACGCCGCGCTTATAAGGTACAAGTTGTTGTACATAGGGGAAATTCTATTTTAGTTGTTGAAAGTCACGGGACAACCTGGCAATATCATGAGTGCTTGTGTTTGTGCGTATCTTGAGAGATCGACGCAACCCATAACATATAAACCAGCAGTAATAAGTTGTGTGTTTCAATAAAAGAATGGACATATTTGGCATAAAAATCACAATGGAAATACTGTTGATAACTACACGTGGTCACACCTTTTACCGACTTGTTAAAGAAGAGCTCCCCTGTCGTATGCCACCAGTCAAATCGCGCCTCGCACGAGGTGTTTATTCATCCATGTCTGTCGATTACAAGTTAGTATGCCCACGCTTGTAGCTATGAAGTATTTTACGCACCGATCACGCGAACTCCATTGTTTTTGTGACCATAAAGTTGAAAAAAAAAACATGACACAAATTGATAATATACATGGAAATATGA